TCTCACAACACCGGGTCACGGAATGCAGGGCCCACGTCCTTGGGAGAGCGGATGACCTGCAGTCCACACTTCCTCCATCAGCCACCACCTGCCCACCGTGCCTCCGTTCAGATACCTGTCTACGCACAGCAGTGGCGACTGGTGCGGAGCCCCAGCCGGCAGCGCCAGCCCAGAGCCTTCTCAGCAAGGCAGGCTGCGCTGTGCTGCACACGGCAAAAGAACCCTCAGCTCTGTCCTGGGCCACTTCATGCAGCGAGACTGCCAACCAAAGCAAGTGACATGCTGCTCAGCAGACGCCAGAGGAGCCCTGTGTGCACAGAAGCCCAGACTCACCCACCCCGACAGGAGCCTGCAGGTGCACGGTGTCACTCCTCGAATATCTGCAAATAGCCACCACAAAGCACGACCAGGAGGACCCACCACTCACAGCTGCCCCTCCCTGGAGCCGATGAGCTGCCCTGCAGGCCCAAGAGCTGGGGGTGGGCAGACTTGGTTGGCCCTTGAGTGCTGCTCCCCCGGGGAACTGTGCTGGAGAGAGGGGCTAGACGGGCCAGGGTCCCCCCAGAACACCACAGGAGGCTGAGCCCTCCCAGAATGCTGCACTCGGTGCCACCTCACCTCCTCGGAAGCCCCACCTCACCTGCACTCACAGAAGAGTGGCCCCTCCAGGCCCAGAGGCTGGGAGCAGCCTCCCCCTTGTCTGTGGAGTGACCACCAAGTGCTGGACCTGACACAGCCTCCACGAGATCCCACAGGCAGCCAAGAGGGACAGAGCCCTTGCTGGGAAGCTGCCACGGGCTCTGTTCCCCTGGATGTTCGCTGGCCAGGACTGATGGCCCAGCCCCACTGACCACCCCCTTCTGTCCTGTAGCAACATCCTCAGCCTCATCAACGAGTTCGACTTCCCAGAGCAGAGCATCCCCAGGGACGACTACCCGGCTGTCCTCATGCGCCTGAACACCACACAGCCAGACAGGGTGGCCCGGCTCCCGCTGAAGGCCTGCTGCCTGAAGGACTTCCTGGACAAGGTACCATGGGCAGGCCCTCCACAGAGGACCGGAGGCCTTGCCGCAGACGGCTGTGAACATCCCCACAGGCCCAGATGGAAGGACCCGTCCATGCCTGACTGGGAACCTGCCCAGCAGGTCAGGAGACCAGGCTCCACTGAGGAAGCAGGCATGGCGGGGCCTGGGCCCTCCAGGGGGAGGCCAGAGCGTGGTCACGGAAGCCAGTGGATGCCTGGGACCTGGGGCACCAGGCTGGGATGAGCAGTCAGGAGGCAGGACCTCGGCAGCGCCTCATGGCGCCCGACCCCAAAGCCTGCTGCGCTCACCTGCTGGCTTCCTAAAGGGAAGGTCCCTCCTCCCCTCGGAGTTCACTGAGAGGGACGTGTGGTGCGTGGGGATCGTGCCCGGTGTCCACGGTGTGCCCTGTGTTGCAGAGTGCCTCGGGCCCAGGCCTGGCCTTCATCGTCTTCACGGAGGCCATCCTGCACATGCCGGGGGCACCGGGCTGGGCTGTGCTCTTCTTTGGCATGCTCTTCACCCTGGGCCTGTCCTCCATGTTCGGGAACATGGAAGGGATCATCACGCCACTGCTGGACGTGGGGGTCTTGCCCAAAGGGGTTCCCAAGGAGGCCCTGACTGGTGAGTGGGTGGCTCAGCCACCTGGAGGGCCTGTCCCCACATTCCAGCCTCCAATCCACTGTCTACTCCACCTGATGTCCAGATGCCCCTCTCGCATGCAGAGCTTGGGGGGGGGGGCTGTGTTCCAACTTGGGGGACGATAGCCAGGCTGCTCCATGCAAGGTGGGGCCTCAGTGGAGGAGGGTGGGCTTCCTCCCGCCCTGGCCCTGAGGTCCTTGCAGCACAGGGAGAGACAGGGCAAGGACCTGGAGTCTCCTGTCAGATGCTGGAGTGGCCTGCACCATGTCTGTCCCCAGGACTGGCCTGCTTGGCCAGCTTCCTGTTGGCTACCTGCTTCACGCTGCAGTCTGGCAGCTACTGGCTGGAGATCTTCGACAACTTCGCGGCCTCCCTGAACCTGATCATCTTTGCCTTCTTGGAGGTCGTTGGGGTCATCTATGTTTATGGAATGAGGCGGTGAGCTGACCCCCAGGGAATGCCCTGGCAGCCCCCCGGTGGGACAGGCGGGGGCTGGCAGCACAGGCCCACTCCACGTCTCCTCTCCAGATCCCAGCGGGCTTGGCTCTGGGCAGCCTGTGGAAATGCCGGGTGGGTCCCCAAGCTCCTGCCTCTGAGGGTGGACTGCCCACGGGCCCTCCAGGAGCCTGAGTGTCTCACGCAGGTTCTGTGATGACATTGAGTGGATGACTGGGCGGCGGCCCAGCCTCTACTGGAGGCTGTCGTGGTGGGCAGTGAGCCCCATGCTGCTGCTGGGCATCCTACTGGCCTACATCGTCCTCCTGGCCCAGACACCACCCAGCTACAAGGCCTGGAGCCCCCAACACGTAGGTCCTTTGCCTGGACCCTAGAGTGCCATCAGGACCCAGACGACCCACATGGGGACATTCCTGTCCTTGCAGCCTGGCCACTGCTGGCATCCAGGAGGCTGGAGATGTGAGCAGGTGGCCTTGCTGTGAGCCTGTGGCCACTGGGGCACAGGGTCCTGGGTAGAGCAAAGCTGACTCCAGGGGGCAGCCTGGGGCAAAGGCTTTGGTCAGTATAGTGTGGACCCCAGCCGCAACCCAGGCCATCACAGGTGCCCCCTTAGGACACCGACTCATGCCATACTTCCCTTGGGTGGGGGGGACAGGAAGAGGAAACTGCCCACTGGTGGTCTGCAATAAAGGAAGTGGTGCCAAGGGCGTCCTGAGCTGGCCTTGTGCCGTCCACACAGCCCCAGGCTTTCCGCAGCCTCGGGGACCAGTGCCTCTCGGGCACCAGCGCCTCTCGGGCAAGTCCTGTTCTCCTGAGAAGGGTGCCCAGCAGGCTGAGCTGCACACCTACCAGTCCTCTCCCCAGTCTCAGAACGGGGCCCCAGGATGGCAAGGGCCAGCAGAGTGGCCTTTGCTGAGGAACCGGTGTGCGTGGTCCCTCTGGACACACCCTGCCCCTCAAAGCCCCAAAGCTGGTGGCTAGTGCTGCCATCTCACACAGGAGGCGGCTGGGTTCACGGGCCCAGCCACTCCATGGTCCCACTGCAGGAGGGGCTCCTCCTGGGCAGCCGGGGCCCGGCCGAGTGGCTCTTCCACTTTCACTCAACCTAGAATGTGTGTGCACCTGCTCCTTTGTCTTGGGAAGGACGAGGTGAAGCAGCCACAATAGTTCCGGGGGCTGACGGCTGGCTCAGTCCCAGGTGCCTGTGGCCGGGGGATGCAGCCTCTGCCCCGGGCGCCCTGCTGAGCATGCTCTCCTCCTGACAGGAGCAGTTCCCCTCTCGGGAGGAGAAGCTCTACCCAGGCTGGGTGCGCGTCATCTGCATGCTCCTGTCTTTCCTGCCCCTGCTGTGGGTCCCAGCTGTCGCACTGGCCAAGCTGCTGGCCCAGCACAGGCGGAGGCTGAAGGACACACAACCAGACACCAGCATGAAGCCAGAGGAGGGCAGGGGCTGCTGAGGGATGGGCCAGGGCGGATGGGAGCAGGGACTGCCGGCCTGTAGCCTCAGACCCAGCCTCATTACACGCCTGCTGCCACGAGGCACGCGACCGTTGCTTCTCAGCTTCCACCGTGTCCACGCTGCCTGCAAAGGGTTTCAGACGTCCCGGAACGCGTGGGTCCAGGCAGCCACAGTGTCTGATCCCTGGGTCCTGGCCATCCACGTGAGGCTGCTCCTCCAACCCAGGTCCCACAGTGTGGTGAGCCGCTTCTGCCGTTTCTGCAGACTATGGTCGCCATTACAAGATGATGCTGGCTCCGCTGTGGTCTGTGACAAACAACTCCTTATCTGGGAGAGTTGGCACATGATTTTTCACCACCCTGTACACCACCCTGTGAGAAAGTTCCACGCGGCAGCTTTGCATTGGGGCTTGGGATGCTTTATTAAGGCTGGGAGGGGCACCCGAGAGGAAGAAGAAGAAATATCAAGGGCCTGAATAAACTGCTGAAAGAAGATTCCTGAGTTGCGTCTTCCTTGCGGGCAAGGGGTCGCGACAAGTGGTGCCGAGACCCGGGAACCAGAACTTTCAGCAGTCAGGGGTGGTGCACCGGTTAGTCCCAGGTAAGTGGGATCCGCGACCAAAGCGGGGTTAGTCCCAATAAGTGGGATCCGCGATCAAAGCGGGGTTAGTCCCTAGTAAGTGGGATCCGCGACCAAAGCGGGGCAGCTCCTCTGTAATGAAAGAGAGAGCCTTACATTTTATTGCATCTGCACTGTGTACTTTCGCTCCTACTTTCGCTTTCTTTTTTTTGTGCTTCCTTTGTTGTTGTGTCATGGGTGCCGCATCTTCAAGTCCGCTTCTCCTGGCCCTAGATGGCCTGTTACGTTCCAAGGGACTGGAAGTGAAACATAGTACTTTACAGAGATTTTTACAGAAGATAGATATCGCTGCACCGTGGTTTGCATTTTCGGGCAGCCTTACTGTGCCTAGTTGGGATAAATTAGGCAAAGATCTTGACTTTGCTTCTGAGCAGGGCATATTAGAGGGTGGGGTGATACCCCTTTGGAAAATGGTCCGTGGTTGCCTTACAGATGGTAAATGCCAGGAAGCTGTGAGTGAGGGTCAAGCTATTCTTGAGCAACTGCATGAGGAAAAATCTGAAGGATCATGTAGTGGAGTGGCAGAGAGTATTAAAAGTAACAGTAGTGAGAAGGCAAAAGAGCCTGAAGATAAAAATAGGAGAAGGCTCTACCCAGACTTGACCGAATTAAAAACGCCTGAGAACACAAGCGACTCAGAGAGTTCTGAGGACCTTGATATATTGTTACAACAACTACATAAGATAAAAATGAAAAAGAAGAAAAAGGAGACACAGGGCACGCAGGCCTACTGTAAGAAGGGGAAGGGAGTTAACATTGGTCAACAAAACTCTGAGGAGGAGGAGGAGGTAGAATATCTAGAAGAAGATATGGTGCCGATTGCCCCACCTCCGTATGTGGGGGGTGCCAAGGTTCCGGGAGATCTTTTCATGCACAAGTTTGGAGGACAGTTAATACAGATATGGGACTTGCATACCCTGTATTTCAGGACAATAACAGGGGAAGATATCATGAGCCTTTAGACTTTAAGATAATTAAAACCTTGGCAGAATCTGTCCGCACTTATGGCATAGATGCCGCTTTCACTCTCACTCAGGTGGAGGGACTTACTAGATTTTGCATGACTCCCTCAGATTGGGCTAGTCTAGTGTGCGCTTGTGTTTCCCCAGGGAAATATTAGGAGTCCAAAGTTGGCTGTTTAATGTTTCTGGCAGTACCCAAGACTCGGAGTGAGGTAGGAGGCTTAAAATTTCTGCAAATAATTCACAATTATCTAATGCTACATTACCCTCTGCAGCAGTCTGTCTCCAATCTCCGTTCCTGTTTCTTTTGGCTAATGTTACATCACAGGGGATGCTTAATTGCTCTAATATTACCTGTTATTTGTCTGAGTGTTGGAATGGATCCTGGCCTATGGCAATGGTTATGAAAATTCCAACTTTTGTCCCGATCCCGGTTACTGCAGATCCAGAGTCATTTCCTATTGTTGAACTGATTGGAGCCCGTAGAGATTTTGGAATTACGGCAGCTATGGTGACAGCTGTGGCGATATCTGCTGCTGCAGCAGTTACAGCTGGAGTAGCCATGGCCAGCCAGGTACAAACTGCTGCCACTATTAATCAGGTTATTCAACAAACATCCACCATACTTGAGTCTCAAAGTAAAATTAATCAACACACTTTATCTGGGATTCTAGCTGCTAATCAAAGGATAGATCTGCTTCAAGCTCAAGTTGAGGAATTGTCTGACCTAGTACATTTGGGTTGTATTGATCAACGTGCACATTTATGTATAACCTCTGTCAGATTTTATGATTCCAGAAATGCCTCCCGCATCATCGGGGAATATTTATCCGGAACCTGGTCCATGGAAGCAGAAAACTTGATCCAGTCTCAACTAACTCAGATTGCTGTTCTGAATAGCACCCGTGTCGAACCAGTGACTTTGGGTCAATTCACCAGTTGGCTATCCTCTGCCTTTCCTTTTTTAAGGAATGGGTGGGAGTGGGCATTTTTGGTGCAATGTGTTGCTTCGGTGTTGTACTTTGTTTGTGGCTTCTCTGTCGCCTTAAAACTCGCCATGCACAAGAAAAGGCTATGATCATACAAGCTCTTGCAGCTTTAGAAAATGGCAACTCACCTCAAGTCTGGCTTGCGCATCTTAAGCAGTAAACCTTTGTCATGGTCGTTACACCCCAAGTTATTATAACATTGCACTGGGATCGACATGACTTTCCTTGTTATTCTCTTAGTGTTGGAAAGCCCTTGCACTCTGCCGGTCTTACTGCCATTGCACGCAGATGGGTTTCCACACTAGTGCTTTTCTATCGTCTTAAAGTCCGTGCCTTTCTTTCAGGGTGCTGTCAACTTGTTTGTCGTTATAAACAGCCACAGTTCAGCCTCAGCTATCCCCCTTCGTCCACCATCGTCACGATACAGGATGCGAGGCAAGGCACTGCACTTGAGTGATCCTTGACGTGGACCTCAAGGAGAGCATGTCCTATTGCATGCGGGTTAGACGCGTCCACGCCCCGCCCCACGAAAAAAGGCGTCGGCTGATATGGCTTCAGATCTGGGGAAGGCGCCTCCTTAGGACTGAGTCATACTATGCAGCCACTTCTGCACAGTGGGATAGGACCTCTACTCTCGCCTGTATTGTTTTAAGAAAACAGAAAGGGGGAACTGTGGTGAGCCGCTTCTGCCGTTTCTGCAGACTATGGTCGCCATTACAAGATGGCGCTGGCTCCGCTGTGGTCTGTGACAAACAACTCCTTATCTGGGAGAGTTGGCACATGATTTTTCACCACCCTGTACACCACCCTGTGAGAAAGCTCCACGCGGCAGCTTTGCATTGGGGCTTGGGATGCTTTATTAAGGCTGGGAGGGGCATCAGAGAGAGAAAAGAAGAAATATCAAGGGCCTGAATAAACTGCTGAAAGAAGATTCCCGAGTTGCGTCTTCCTTGCGGGCAAGGGATCGCGACACCACAGGGTTGCAGTCTCTGTGGCCATTCGCTGTCCCCAGGGGCCACCGTGCTCCGGCAGGGAGGGAAGTGCCCTCTCCTCACCCAGAGCAGCCGGGGAGAGCACCGCTCAAGGGACCTGAGGGGCAGACACGGCTGCTGGCACGGGCAGCGCAGGAGCCCTGGGCCACTGCTGAGGAAGCCTGCACGGTGCCGTGGCCGTGGCCCCAAGTGCCTGCTTTTGTCTAAGAAGGTACTAGAAGGGAGAGGGACACACGGCCTTGGCCACAGCTGGCCTCACACTGAGCCACGGCAGGGCGCGTCTCACCCAACTCCTGCTCCTCTCTTGCTGCCTCTTCCCTTCGGGGAGAGCCTGGGACGTCTGAAGTGTGGGGCCTGGAGAGGGGCCATGTGCACCTGTAGCTTCTTACCTGGGCAGCACCTCTCTCCTTGGTGCCTGGCCAGGCAGCGCTGTCCATGGTGCTGAAACCCTAGCCAACACAGATTCAGGGTGGTCTGTGCATTCCTTGCCCATGGCCAGTTTGGACCCCAGAGCAAAGGCACACTCAGTGCTGCCCCCTGCTGGGCAGCTGTGTGTCCAACATGGCATTGGCTACAGGGAGCCCATCTGTGCCCACAGACCAGGTAGGTCCTGCTCTGGCCCCTCCATCCAGGGCTCCACCGAAACTCAGCACATTGTCCTCTCCCCATCGCACCTGGCAGAAGATGAACTCATACTAAATGCCTTCATTGGTCCTCAGAAGTGGCTAAGCCCAAAGATGGGCTTCAGGCTCCACTGGACCCTCCCCGTTGAGTTCTGCTCTTGGGCGTCTTCCCTGGGTAGGGCCTCTCCAGGGCTATGCAAGTCTTTGGGGTCCATGTTCTGGGTGAGATGGCCCTTCCCTGGGGTCTAGACTGCAGGGGAGGCTGGTTGAGCTTGGAGGGTGGCAGCAGGAGGAGGGGGCTGCAGCTGACCACAGGATGGTGAGGAGGGGCAGTGTGCTCTCCCCACCCACACGGGGCCTGAAGATCCCACCATTGACCCTAGACAACACAAATGGTGGCTGTTGGCAAGCCACCTCCAGGGACGTGTTTTATGTTCATGCCACACTTCGGAACACTGGGTGCCGAGCAGGACCTGCTCCCCAGCCCAAGTGACTCTGGGTGTAGAACTTCACAGCAACAGCAGGAGTGCCACCCAGTGAGGGGACACTTCACAGTGGTGCTGGAAATGGCAGGACTTGTGCCCCTGTCCAGCCACTGAGAGGAAGGGGTGGGGTGGGGACAGCACACCTAGAAAGTTCCATCCTATTCACATGCTCAAAGCAGCTGTGGATACTACTGGGTAGAAAGAAAGATGGACAGGAGGGGATCCAACTGGTGGATCACTGTTGGACAGACAGGTGGTCTAAAACATGGCAGAGGCATGTCCACCCCACCAAATACACCACTTGTTCAAGGTCACTGCTGATGCCCTGAGAGCAGGAAGAGGCTGAGCAGCATCCATGGAGGGATGGACAGGCTCAGACTCTTGGGAGCAGGGCCGAATGGTCTGACCCTGCATGGATGCACCCCTGTGCAAGGTCCTGTCTATTGCAAGCACCCAGGCTGGCTCCTGGAGACAGGCCAGGTGGTGACCGATGGGGTCCACCCAGCAGAGAGTCCAGAATGAGGACCTGTCCTCCCAGAGGACTTGCTCCTTTGGAGCAGCAGTGATGACTTGGAGCTTAAGTGGCTACACACTGTCTGGTCAGTTCAGAGATGGACATGTCCCCTCAACTGCTGGTCCATCAGCTCAGAAGGACATGTCCCAGGACCCTGGCTAGCCACAGGTACCCTCCTCATACTCCCCTTTGGCCCAGCTAGGGTCACATGTGGGGAGGTGACTCCCCAGCCTTTGGGGTGAAGTGGTTCTGCCAGATGCACTCCCCAGATGAAGGGAAACAGTCCCGTCCCACGAAGGACGGGCCTGGGACAGCAGGTCCACGGCCCAGGCAGGGAGCCCAAGTCCAGGAAGGGGCCTAGTGCCCGATCTGAGCAGAAGTGGGCCCCACCAGGCCCTGTTCCTGCTCCCCCGCCACACCCCCGGCTGAGGCCACCACTCAGGGGCAGACCCGGTTCTGCACACCTGGGTGTAGCTGAGGGACCCCGCTGCTCCACCACCCCAGCCCCAGGTCGGCACCCGCAGCCCTTGGTGACTCTCAGCCAACTGGCACACAGGAAGGGCAGGGTGCCCTGCCCAGAGCTGCGGGTGTTGGACCCGCCACAAAGCCTCCAGGTGGGGTCAGACACCTTCAGGAACAGGCCCGTGTGGCTTCTGTTTGCTGACTTGACCAGTCCCTGAGGCACAGCAACTGACCACACAGGTACTGTCACAGCTCTGGGGCCAGAAGCCCAAGGGGTCTCCTCCACCCAAACCAGGGCACTGGCCAGGCCAGGCCAACACACTGGGTCAGCCTCCCTCTCCCCTCCCAGGAACCCTTGTGATGACAGGGCCACCAGCCCAGGACAACCTCCTTGGTGTAAGGTCAGCTGCTGAGACCCTTTGTCCCACCTGCAACCTGGACTCCCACACTCCGCTCTGGAGAGTGGACACAGGCACCCAGGTTCCCTATTCTGCCCACCACAAGCTCTGGGGGGGTCTGAAGCCCACCAAGCTTTGAATCCCCACCCACCCCAGCTCTACAGTGTCCTTCATAGGGGAGCACCCAGAGCCCTGCAGGGAGCAGCACCCAGGGTGACGGCAGGCAAGGCAGAGGGCAGCAAGCCCTGGCCTTGCAGTCCCCCGGTTGGCTGCCCAGTCATCCCTCCAGCTCCTTATTCCTTCTCCATCTGAACCTCGCTGGCTCCACGAACAGGTCTACAGGATGCATGTGCGACAGCTTCCACCAAGGCCGGACCTGAAGAGGCCGACTGGTACCTCTCCCCTTAGAGCTGTTAGCCTCACTTGGCCCTGCAATTGGCGCTTTGTGCTTGTGGTGGCAGTGGTAACAGGCCAAACCCCACAGGGCTCAAGGCATCACATGGAAGCCCCTTTGCGGTACACACCCTGCGGTCCCATTGGGGACGTCCTGGAACCCTGGGGCTGCTCACAGCTTCCTGAGGCCACCTGGCCCTCCACAGGCAGCCTGGCGCCCATGGTGGGGCTGCTCCTCCCACGGTGCCCTCTGCAGCTGCCCCACCTGTTCCCTGACCCTCCCTTCAGCTTCCTGGAAGGGCCTCCGTCCAGCTCCGATGAGCCACACCTGCCCCAGGGGTCTGCCATGTTGGCCTGGGGGGACCCTGCTCCAGGGTATCCCACCTGTGCATGCTACAGTATGCAGTGGTGCTTACGCAGTGCACATCACGACACACACACAAGACTTTTGACTCAAAGATCCAGAGGGTGTTCTCTCCATGGCCAGCGTGGGCACACCTGTGGGGACCCCACCCAGGAACAGTCTGGCTGGGCCGGGCATGGGGTCCCCTGAGTCTCCACTCCAGCCAGGGTGTGCAGGTTGTGCCAGACACTCAGGCCCCAGGGGACAAGAGAGGTGTGGGCAGTGTGGTGAGGCACTCAGGGGCCTCAGCTCATCAGGAGTGGACCTTGGCTGTGGCCAGGGTGATGGAGATGCTCCAGGGTGGGTGTGGCCAGCAAGGAGCAGGAGCACCAGGGCCCCAGGACAGCCCCGGGCTCCCAGCACAGAGGGCCAGGGCAGCTCTGCTCAACCACCTGGACATCCTACTGCCCACACTGGGCCCCTCCTGCCGCCTCTGGGAGGTCAGAGGCCAAAGGAGCCCCAGGTCACCAGAGGGTCTCAGTGGGTGGGCTCTGCTTCCTAGAGCACACCAGGGAGGGGCTGACCGTCCACAGAAGGCAGGCCCAGGGTCACAGCCCACCTGCCACATGGACATGGGGCTCCCCGGAGAACTGCAGCCTCAGGTGGGCTGGCCCCTCCAGTGACACAGATCCAGGTGTGGGCTGCCGGAGCCCACGCTGCCCAGGCAGTGAGGAGGCAGGGTCAGTCCAGGATGGTCTTGAAGTCTGTGGTCAGGGCTGGGTCAGCTGCGGCCTTGAGGGCTGCCAAGGTGGCCTCAGGGAGCTTCTGACACAGCTGTGTTTGGGCTGCAGAAAAATGAGGGACAGAACTCAGACCCCGTCCAGAAGAGGTCAGCGTGTCCTCCAGCCCAGCCCTAGGATCGGAGGCACATCTAAGCTGAGCCCCGCCCAGCACCAGGGCAGGAGCCTCAACCAAAGGTCAGCGGCCCTACGTCTTGGGCCAGACAAAAGGCCCAGAGCGGCTGACGAGGCAGCAGAGCCAGGGCAGGAGGGGGTCGTTTGCCACCACCTGAGCTGAGGACCTCACTGAGGCCCGGGAGCAGGGAGGGCAGTGGTCTCTGAGGACAGGGCCTCACTCCTCCCACACCTACCTGTTCTGAGCGGCCCCAGGAGACACTTGTAGGTGGCACAGTGACAAGCCAGCTTGACCAGGAAGGCTTGGTGGCAGAGCCACTGTGCTGCTTCGAAGGGAAACGGGCCGGCAGCGCCCCTGGCCCCCAGCGACACCCCTGGGAGAGCAAGGGGAGGCTGACAGCTGTGGTGGAGCCCCAGCCCACACCCCCCTCGGGCAGCCCTGCCCGGGCGTGCGGTCCCGGCCCTGCACCTGAGTTCCTGGCTCTCAGGATGGAGTAGCAGCAGGAAGCCGTGTCAGAGACGATGCGCAGGAAGAACCGGGGGTTCTTCCGAACCTGCTGGCTGAACGGGAGCTGGAGCACACACGCGTGGAACCTGGGGGGAGGAGGGCAGGCCTGGGCGTCACCTGCATGCACACCGTGTGATGCACACTTCAGCACAGCCACGTGGGCACAAGTTTTCCTGCTTGAGTTGTCACACAGTCCCTTGTTGGGTGCCTGCTGTGCTGGGCCAGGCAACAAATGCCTTGGTGTCAGGGTCAAGGAGTGAGGCCCCACCCATGGTGGAGATGCTGTCCCCGGGACTGGACGCCACTGTCCCCTCCAGGCTCTGAAGGCAGCCCTTGCTCTCTGTGCTGAGACTGTTTCTTCCTCTCCTCTCCCTCGTCTCAGGGACATAGTGACCCTTCCTCCCCACACAGGCCCAGGTATCCAGTCACCTGAGCTACAGTCCTCGAGCACACACCCACCACAAGAACATCAGACTTCGGGGATGGCCCAGAATATCCAAGAAATCTCCCAAATTAGCAACCCATTTTGACCCCCGCCCCCGGGGTTAGTGCTCCTGGAACACAGCCTGGAGTCACCTCTAAAACCCTGTTCCCTGACGGGGCAGAGCAGCCTCTGAACCGGGGGCCCGATCTCCTTGGCCAGCAAAGCAATACGACTTTGCTCTTTTCCTCAAAACTCTGTCCTCGTTACTAAATTGGCACTGGGGACAAGGACTGAGCTTTCGGTGACATCACCACCCACCCATCCTCAGTTCTCAGGACCAGCCACAGCCACAGGCAGGGAGTTTCCAGAAGCTCTGGAGGCCTGAGCACAAGTCGGCGTCCTCCGCCACACCCTCCTGGGGTGCAGGCTGGCGATGCTCATTGGCTGCGAGCTCAGTGCTCTGCCCCCTGGGTCCCCAAATCCACACTGTCTGTGGCCTTTGCATGCTGGGTACCTTCCACTGACACTCCCCTGCCCAGCTCAGTGGACGCCAGGCTGTGTGGGCCTGCAAATGTCCAGCAATGGCGGAAGTACGTCCATGACTGGAGAGAACGTGAGGCCGTGCTGGGTGGCTCCTGCTGCAGATCCACTTGCCCCCTGGGTTCCCACAGCCCCAGCAGAGCAGAGCCCCTGCTGCCCCTGCAGGACAAGCACCAAGTGGGCACTGCTAGCCCTGCGCCTTCGCTGCTGGCAGTGTGGACCCACGACCCACCTGTAGGCCTGCAGCAGGAAGATCTTGTAAGTGTTCACGCACACCGTCTGGAGGCTGTTCACCTGGAGTGCCCGAGAGCAGGACAGTCACCAAGGGCCCTGGACGGCAACCCTCTACTCCATCCCCATCAGTCAGACAGAGTAAGGCGGGGGACACTGGGGCGAGAAGCCCCCCCCCCCAGTTAAGTCCAGCCAGGCCCTCCCAGGGTCACTGTGAAGGGACAGCAGGGGCAGGAGCACCTGGCGGGACATGCTGCTCTCACACACACACACACACACACACGTGCTCGTGTGCAGTCACATACACACCTGCACATGGGTACACATGTACACATAAGGAGAAATGCAGACGTGTATTCACATGCACACACGTGCACTCATACGTGCACGTTCACACTTGCACACACAGAACTACAAGACTGGCCACCCGTAAAGGCCTGGTGCTGGGGCTCTGGGCATGTGCCCCGCTCACCTGCAGGTCCAGAAAGAGGCCGTGGCACTTCAGCCGCAAGACGGCCAGGAGCTTGCGACGCAGGTTCCGCCCCACCTTGGAGCCGCGATGGAAGGTGAGACTGGCCCTGACCGAGGTCTGAGCATAGCTGTGACATAAAGGGGTGTCAGGTGTGTGTTCCCCCAACAGCTGCTGTGACCCAGAGCCCTGTGCCTCCTCCCCCAACCCTGCCACATCTCGCCGGAGGCACAGCTGCCCGGCACGAGGACCCCGATGGGCTGGGCACAGAGCACGCAGCATGCTCTGAGAACCGGCTGGCTCATGGCTCATGCCACTCGAACCAGGCCCTGCACGGCCTGCTCCTGCCAGGACCTGGCCGACAGCACGACTGTACCCCAGCCTGGGATCACCTCAGATGTCCACTCGTCAGCGACACGACCGACAGAGCTCACCGGCAGCCGCCCCTGTGCAGCCCCATTGTGGAGCATGGCAGGCGTGGCTCCTGCCTGTGTGGCACAGCCCTCTGCCTGAAGCCCCGGCAGAGACTGGCAGCCCGGTGACAGCGCCTGCCAGTGGTGTCCGACTGACACCCTTGCCAGGCACAGCCCCAGGATGGGATGTGCGCAGGACACAGGAAGAGTGCCCTTCTGCCCCTGGCTGTCTCTGCGTGACACACAGTTTGCACTCCAGGATGTGTCTGCTGACACCGGCTTCTGGACTCTGATGCTGGAAGTGGTCTTCCACATCACCAGGTGTCGCCTGAGGCCAGTGGCAGAACGAGGCTTCTTTCTGGGGTCCACAGTCCCTCCCAAGCCACTGACAGGTTGAAGGGTGACCTGTCCTGGCAAGGCATGGCACCTCAGCATTCAGAAACGGCCGAGAGAGGCCACCTGAGTCTCTGGCCATCTCCTCCGCACAGACTTGCAGGCGGATGGGAAAACGTCCCAACCTCCCAGCTGCTCCCAACACAGCCTCTTCCAGTTCACCCCAGGGCTGGCATTTGGGCTGTGAGGACTGGGCAGAGCAAGGGCTTGGGGCCAGGTGGTGACCAAGGGTGTGCCGTGTCACCCTTCCTCATGGGCCAAGTGAGCAAGGGACAGCAGCACAGGCAGAGGCTGGTCAGGGAGGACGTGAGGGTGCTGCGCTCTCAGGTTCCCTGGGGACGCCCTGCTGCGCTCCCTTGGGGTCAGCTCACTCCTGCGTCCATGCTTCTCACGCTGGACACCCTCTACCTGCACCTTGCAGTGTATGCTGCAAGGTGAAGGTGGAAGTCATTCTCTCCCTCCAGTCAGTTCTCAAGAAAGAGAAAACCACCGTCTCACCAAAGAGCTCTACTGGAGACGGAGCTCGGCTCTGGACCGCGAGGCCCAGGGTGGCCAGAATCGCCAGGGCAGGAACAGTCGCACCGCCCTCCACTGCAACCTCGGGATTTCTGCATCTTTACTCCTAAGAGATGGCCCAGATGTCTGTCCCTGTCGGTCCTGAGTCCACGGCGACTGTGTGGGCCCGAGGCGGCACTGTGAGCTCTGGTGAGACGGCACCCGTGTCTCCAGACACCCACCAGGCGAGAGCCCTGCTGACCCAAGCCCAGTCACCCGGAACTCCTGGCAACCAGAAGGCCATGGGTGGGCTGAAGCTTGTGTCCCCCTAGACACTCATGTGCAGCCAGGACCTGCAGGCTGGTTCAGGCTGGGGACACACTGGTGCCCTGAATCTACAGTGTCCTTCTGCCAAACTAGCCCAATAAACAGCTCCTGTGCCCAGTGCTTGTGCACCCACGGGAAGATGCACCTCTGTCCACCCCTGGGTTGAAGGGCACCAGCTTCTAACACCTTGGTCCCCAGATACCTGTCCTGCCAACAGGACTGGACCGGCCCTCAGTGCCGCCTACTCTGACGCGCTAACTCCTCACCTGCCAGGGCCACTCACCTGGAGTAGTCACAGAACACCTCTAGGGTCTGCGAGTCCAGCAGCAGGCCGCACCAGGGGAACAGGCAGTGAGCGGGCAGCTGCAGTGGGGCAGCGCCGTTGGGGGCCTCGCTCTCCACGGGGAAGTTCACCACTGTCTTCTGCAGGTTTATCTTGCAGCCATACTCGGGGACACCCTGGACCAGGGCCCTGAGCCAGAGGGCAGTGTTGGCCACAGGATGGGGCTGCTGCTCCCTGAACCCCAAGCGTCCTGGGGCCTGCGAGAGCCAGCCTGGTCCAAGGTGTCCCCACCCTCCAGCTCCAGTCCTGTGTCCTAGGCGGGACAGACCAGTGTCTGTGCCTCGAACTGGCTCAGAACAGGATGCCAGGGCTCAGCGGGAGGCAGGGCCCCATGACCCTCTGCCAGGGCTCATCTCACACACCCACAGGGCCAGGCCTCCGTCTACCGTGGAGCCTCCCCCTACTGAGTGGCCTGTCCTGGGAGGGGGAGCCCACCCTGCAATTCCGTCTCCCAGTAGGAGCCAGGTTTCCCTCCCTGACCAGGGCCCTGGGGCAGAGCCATCCTCCCAAACCACACAAGGGAAACAGTGTCCCCTCTACCCCTGGTGGCCACTGCTTGTATGGCTCCTGAGCGCTGTGAACCTGCAGGGTCCTCTCACCTAACTTAGTGAACTGGACATCTGGGGCCCTTTGGCTCAAGGACACTGCTGGACAGCACCAGCCCTGGCAGCGCTGAGGGCCAACTCAGGACTGGACGGCGTGCAGTGTGTACCCACCACAGCCCGGCGGCAGCCCCTGCCTCCCGCAAGCCTCCCCCAGGGGTCCAGAGACAAGCAGCAGACGAGGCACCCGTGGGGACTCACTGTGGCAGCCCGATTCCCACAGGGGCCACGAGACTCAGCTTCAAGGCCAACCCTGGGATGTGCCAATGGCCCTGGTCTGCCCACAAAAACAAACTGAAATGGCACACTGTGCCCATTCACGTGGAACCAGGGACATGTCGGAGGAAAAGACCGTTCCCCAAGCCCTGGGCCCTGGCCTCAGAGGGCTACTGCGCTAAGTCCACACTCTGGCCTCTTCCTCGCTGTCTGGTCAGGAAGGACGACTCACAGATGCAAGCCCAGGGCCTCCCACTCAGGGCTGGAATGCAGCCTGGGCTCACGGCACACTCGGGAGGTGGCAGCCCCCTGCAGGTGGCTCTGGGCGTGCCAGGTGCCACCTCCTGCTGCATCTGAGGCTTTCTGAGTACCATCACGTTTGCTGTGTGTGCTACTCATGAGGCTCGGCGCTGCCCGGGAGCCAAGCTCTTGGTGCCCGCCTGCATTCCCGGCTTGGCTACACTGCCAGGCGCCGGTCGGCGGTGTCCATGGGACGTCACCAGGCCCCGGGATAACCCAGGCTCCAGGCACACAGACCCCTCCTGGATTAAACGAATCACATCAGCCAGTGGGACCACGTGAGGACCCACCTGAGGAAGGCTCTGGCCTGGGCCAGGTGAGGCGTGACCAGCAGGAAGTCGTCCACCAGTCGCAGAAGCACCCTGAAACCAAGAGACAGGCAGGGCCTGACCCACACGCCCCAGGGAGTCGTGGCAACCGTTTTAAACGTGCATCCACACGGACGAGAAGCAGCTTCCTCCTAACAAGCGGCCTCTGCGGTGACCTGCTGGAGCAGGCACACGCCACAGCCCAGGTCCACGGGATCCACGCTGGACAGGGTCGAGCCTGGCCTTCCATCAGGCACAGCCCGATTCTCAGTCCCTGGAGCCTGGTGGGCCCTGTGCCTGGACGGCAGTTCTCAGCCACCAGGGAGAGCTGTGAGCCCCAGCTCAGGGTCCCCCAGGCCTCGGTGGAGGCCCAGCAGTGTGCCGTCAGCGGGACCTACATTCAGATCTGTGTTCTAGAAACCTGGAGACGTGACCCTGGCCGTGAGCTGGCAGAGAGCGCAGGGGAGGCCCCTGCCACCTCCCCACGCCTCCCAGCAGATGCTGCTGCTTTCCTGGAGTCACCTGTCGACCAGAGCCCTGGGGGCCGACTCGCCTGGGACACCCCGACCCTCAGGAGTGCTACACCAGTGTCTCTGGACCAGTCCCCAGTGCTGCTGGGGCAAAGCTGGACACAGCCACGGTCCAAGGGCTCTGCCACCCAGACGGAAAGTGCTGGGGGAACGAGCTCCCTGGCTCTGCCAGCCCCAGCCCCAAGGCCCCGGGGACCACCAATGGACGGGAGGGTCCTGGGGCCGACTGCCCCTTGCTGAGCTGCTGGAGGCACACTGAGCACCTGTCACCCATCACAGACTGGACTCGCCAGCTCTCTCTAGGCTGTGTGCAGCCTCCGTGGTGACTTCATGTGAAGCTCATGGCAGGACCTGTCTGGTTCTCTAAGACTAGGCGACTGTGAGGTCCAGCGAAGACCAAGTGAGAAGAGAGGCCTGTACTCAGAGGAGAGCCATACCCGTCCTGCTGCACCCCGGCAAACAGCTTGTTCTCCATGTCCCCGTAGCACAGGCTGCAGAGCAGGGTGGACAGCACGGAGCCCTGGGGGATCCCCCGGCATTGCACGTAGCACCTGGGGGACGCAGGGAGGAGGCAGATGGGCCAAGGCAGGCTTCATGCTCGAATCCAGCACACACACATGCCACACGTGCACACAGACGTGACACGCATGTGTGCAGATATACCACGTGCAGACATGCCTACACACGTGCACACAGGAACATGGCTACACACACGCTGCACACGTGGACACACACAGGCACATGGCACACAGACTTACACATACCACACCCACGTGCCCCACCCGCACCATGGTGTGGGCCCCTTGGCCTGCACACCCCGTGAAGTGCCAGTTTGCGAGGTCCTATGCCACATGCGGCGGTTCCCATCTTTCGCTGTGGACTGGGATGGCAGTGACTGTGCCCTCTGACTCACTGTGACTTTGTTAACTTTAAGAACTATGTTCAGGCAGCCACAGCTGAGAGCGTTCCGCAGGGATTACTTCTTGGGTGCCAGGGACTGAGCCCAGGGCCTGCCCATGCTAAGCACTCTACCTCTAAGCTTCCGCCTGACTCTTGAACCAAAGGGACTGCTCATCTGGGACCCCTCTCCCAGAACAGTGTGTCCACCCTGGACACAGACCGCACTCCGTGCGGTGGCCACAGCCAGCCTTCTCTCACGAGTGCAGCCAAACAAGGGCGCAGGGTGCCTGGGTTCTGTTGCAGGGCAGGAGACCCTTGAGGAGGCCTGCGAGCCGGGTGGGCCAGCTGGGCGGGGCTCTGAGTCCACTGAAGAGGTGGCCCTGGGCCACTGCTGGGAAACGGCAGGTGCTCCTGCTAGACAGGCCACCTGAGCACAGGCACCAGGCCGATTCCAGGGGCTGTCCAAATGTCGCATGCAGGGCTGGGGCTGTGGCTCAGTGGCAGAGCACTTCCTAGCACATGCGGGGCTCTGGGTTCCATTCCCAGTACCACATATAAATGAACAAATAAGATAAAGGTCCATCAACAGCTGAAATATACACATACACTAGAAAACAATTCAGCATGCTACACACTTGCAATTTGTGCTTTCCCCAGAAGCATACTCCACGTTTCTTTCTTTTTTTTAGTTGTAGATGGACACGATACCTTTGTTTTTTTGTTTTTATGTGGTGCCGGGGATTGAAGATGGACACAATACCTTTGTTTTTTTGTTTTTATGTGGTGCCGGGGATTGAAGATGGACACAATACCTTTGTTTTTTTGTTTTTATGTGGTGCCGGGGATTGAACCCAGTGCCTCACGCATGCTAGGCAAACGCTCTACCACTGAGCCTCAACTCCAGCCCTCCATACTCTACATTTGTAATTACCTCGTAACCAATACTGCAAGCACTCACAGTAAGATAAGTGGCAGCACTGATCCTTACGTGATAACTACTGTGCTCCTCACTAAAAACATCCAGAACGTGTGCCCAGCGTGGGAATGACACAGCCTGACCATGGACCACCCACGTGTGCCCTGGATTCTGCTCTACCTGCCACTTCTGTGCCTGGCTCTCCCACAGCTGCCTGGGGCCAGTCCTGCTCTTGCCACCAACTCGGGCCCCCAGGAGGAGCCGAGTACCTCCACCCCCAGTCCCCAGAGAGGAGCTCCAAGCTGCAGAGGCCGGTCTGCTCCCCCGCCATGGGAGGCACGAGGCCAGGGAGCTCTTTTGGAGGCACTAAACGCCGAGGAGGTTTGGTGCTCTGCCCCGCCAGACACGGGCTCGCGAACCCCAGGCCCACGGCCCCAGTGCACAGGCGAGCCCATCTGAACAGGCTGCTCCACCCACACGCCCCCTGGGTGCAGCTGCTGGACCCATCAAGACCGCGGGTGGGCGGCCGGCTGCACTCACCTGCCGCCGATCCTCACCACACTGCTGCGTACAAACCTCAGGAAGAAGTCAAACAGGTGGGTGCTGGTCTCGTTCAGAGAGCAGCTCTGGAAAACAAGCAGACAGGCGCGGGTGATGGCCGTCAGAATGCACGTGTGGCTGGGGCAGGAACGGGGCTCCGTAGCGGGGTTAGGTTTTCATGAAGTTGGGCTGGGCTAGGGCCAGGGCCCATCTGCTGCTGGGACAGAATCTGCCGCAGGCTGCTGGTGTCTGCAGACTTTGCTGGACAGTGAGTGTTGCCTGTTTTGGCCCCTGAGACACTGGACCTAGCCCATATGACTCCCTGGAGAGCCAAGGAAACTCACCCAGGGGCCTCAGAGTGGGTGCCACTGTCCCCTAAGACTAAGGAAGCACTAGAAGATTCTGTAAAGAGCAAAGAACTACATGAGCCAATCCTGTACTATTGGAGGCCTGGGGGTCTCAGCCCAAGACCAAGAGTCAAGCCAAGGTGGGTGGGTCACAGGACAAACCCTGACTGTCCTCCAAAGAAAGGGGCTTCTCCCTGCGGCCTTGAGGTCAAAGCTGAGGGGGCAGACACTTCTGCCAAGTCTCAGATACAGCAACTGAGAGCAGGGGAGCCTGGCCAGGTGGGAAGAGGACACGTGGCCCAAGACAGAGGCCCAGGCCTGGCATGGCCAGCGAAGAGGGGGACTCTGTAGCTGTGCCTAGTAGCCGTGGCCTCGTCCCCACCATAGGGCAAGCCGAGTGGCCCACCCAGCGCTGGGAAGCCCATGCAGATGCCCACCAGGCTCAGGGACCTGCTCAATGACGACGGCGTCCTTCAGCGCACTCCTGTCCTGCAGGTGCTCCACGAACTGGCGCATGTAGGGCTGCAGGTCCGAGAGGGTGGAGACCTGGGACAGGGGAGGACGTGAGGGGAGCATGTAGGGCTGCAGGTCCCAGAGGGGGGGACCTGGGACAGGGGGCATGAGGGGAGCATGTAGGGCTGCAGGTCCCAGAGGGGAGGACCTGGGACAGGGGAGGACGTGAGGGGAGCATGTAGGGCTGCAGGTCCCAGAGGGGGGGACCTGGGACGGGGGACGTGAGGGGAGCATGTAGGGCTGCAGGTCCCAGAGGGTGGACACCTGGGACAAGGGAGGACGTGAGGGGAGCATGTAGGGCTGCAGGTCCCAGAGGGTGGACACCTGGGACAAGGGAGGACGTGAGGGGAGCATGTAGGGCTGCAGGTCCCAGAGGGTGGGGACCTGGGACAGGGGAGGATGTGAGGGGAGCATGTAGGGCTGCAGGTCCCAGAGGGGGGGGACCTGGGACCGGGGGCGTGAGGGGCCAGCATTCCTGCCGCTGGATGCTGCCAAGCCAAGGCCCCAGGACCAGGCCTGACACCAAGAGATCTGGGTGTCCACCACGAGGCTTCTGTCTGTGGGGAGGGAGGGAAGGTGCAGGGCGGGAGCTGCAGAAATAGCGGGGCCACGCTGCAGCCAGCCTCAGGCCACCCCCCCCACCCCGACCACCATCCACCACCAAGGCCCAAGAGGCACCCGACATCTCCATGGGGGTGCGGAGAGACCACAGCACATGGAAGGGCCTAGAGGAGCAGGAGGGCATGGCTCCGTCTCCTGTCTGCACACCCTCTTGCTTCTCATCTCAGTGGCCACCAAGACCCATGTCCTCAGGCAGGAACACAGAGCTCCTGATGCCCCACAGGATGCTCAGCCAGGAGGAGTCCGGAAGCCAGCCGTGGCCTTGGACCACAGCGCCCCCAGGAGGTCACAACAGTGGCTGCAGTCAGGGCAACCTAGAGAGGTGCACACCTGGAGATCCTCACGCTGCCCCAACCAACAGCAGCTAAGCCACCCACAGGTCATCATCAAGAAGGGGAGAGAGATGGGCTGGGGATGTGGCTCAAGCAGTAACGTGCTCGGCTGGCATGCGCGGGGCACTGGGTTCGATCCTCGGCACCACATAAAAATAAATACTTAAAAAAAAATTCTCTCTTTAAAACAAAAAAAAAAAAGAGACAGATGACAACCAATGGTGCCACCAAGCTCCTGGAGGGCAGCTACAGCCTCAGGCTCACGGCCAAAGTCCACACACGCCCAGGAAGCAGAAGGCAAGCCAGCAGAGGGAGCGCTCTGGAACAACCCAGCAAAAGATGCTCGCTGCAAAGAGGCAGAACCGGAGCTGGCGAGGCGAGCAGGTAAGGCGGGAGGCGAGGGCGCTGCTCCCGCAGGGCCCAAGGCAGCGCCCGCTGCACTCACTCCCCGAAGGCCCTGCTCCACAGCAGGCACAGGATGAGGGGGGACGGGCAACAGTGGACCCAGAGGGAGATGCCCAACACTCAGGTGCTGTGGTGACTGTGCCTCCGCGTGGGGCACATGCCCCTGACCTGCCCCAACCACGCACAAAAATCAGCGGCACCAGACCCGGGTACAGAAGAGGGTGGAAACAGCAGCTGCCCAGAATGTAGGCACATTCTCTGCAGAACAGTCTCAGCCACCAAGGGGACTTTGTGAGAACTAAAAGCCACCCGCCAACATCCTCCTGGAGGTGACAATGGGATGCATACACCTGGGGGAGTGGCTCCCAGAATGCACTGCAGAGCAAGGGCTGGCCCCAGCAGAAGCAGAGCAGGTCTGGCAGGTGCCCCATGCAGAAGACCCCCAGCCGGCCAGACAGGGAGCTCGGTTCCGGCGCCAAGACACACTGGACGTGACCCTCACGACAGCTCTGCACGCCTGCAGCAGCAGCACGTGGCCATCAGGAAACCCATGGCAACATCAGTACAACTGGACGTAGCGCCAGCAATCTCTCCTCTGGAACTCTCCCACCCAGAAAGCTCTGTCCAGCCAAGCGCCACAGGGCATCCACAGCAGTGCTGCCCACAACAGTCCAGCAAGAAGCCACCCAGACGCCCACCCACAGCAGAAGGGATGCCCCCAAGCAGCGTGTGCCCAGACTGCTGCCCACACAAAGACACGCAGCTTGCTTGGCCAGTCTCGGGCACACTGGGAGCTGGAGGCCAGGTGCCCAGAACCACTTTCTGACAGAGCCCACGTGACAGATCATCACTGTGGTGCCTTGGGCTCCCAGGCACCGTGACACGGAAGTCCCCCCACATGGGGTCCAGGAGTGTGCACGGAAGATTGGCCAACACTTGCCTGTCTTGTCTCAATGGCAAAGCAAGGGAAGCAGCGTGCGCCTCTCCAAGCCCAGTCCCCCATCTGTCCAGGCCCGCCAGTGGCTGGAGGAAAGGACCCTGGATGCCTATCACCAAATCTACCCGTGAGCGTGAGGGCAGTGCCAGAGGTGCTCCAGGCAAAGGAAGCCCCACTCGGCACCCAGAGGAGGCAGGCAGGTGCCCCGCGTGCTCTGGCCACAGAGACACGTGCTACGGACGTGCACCAGCTCACCCACAGCACAGCAAGCACACCAGATACCGGTGCCGACAGGCCTGGGTGCTGAGCATGCTCAGCAGGGACACCCCGCAGCGGCCTTACGTGTGTCCTGAAAGACTTGCGGACGCGCCCGTGGGCGGCTCTCTGCACCACGGCGTAGCGGCGGACGCAGTACGTGTTCTCTGGGGGCCTGATGATGCTGGCGATCACCTCCACGAGTCGGTCCTGGGGGATGGTGTCGTACGCCCCAGTCACATCTGCCTGCAGGATACACACGAGCCCTCAGAGCCTCAGCCCCACAGGCCCAGGGGCCCCTGCAGGCCCTGCGCAGAGCCTGGGCCCAAACCACCCACAGCGCCCCCTGCAGGGAGTGGGCACAGGAAGGCTGGAGACACACCATGACCACCCAACTCTGGTCAGAGGCCCAGCTAGGTTCAGGAGGGAGGCCAGCCTGCATCCTCTAAGACCCTCCACCCCAGGGAGGCCAGGCCTGCATTCCCCAAGACCCCAGACTGAGGACCCCAGAGAGCCAGCCTGCCCCCGTCCCTTTGGGCCACAGGACTCATGAACACGGCACAGGGCTCCCAAGCCCAGGGGTCTGAGCCAGGTTCAGCTCCTTCTTTGAAGAGGAACCAACATCTGGTGGGATGCTCCCAAGAGTGGGACCCAGGACTTGGGGTGCTGAGTCCAGGGAGCCCACACAGGCTCAAAGCTCTGTCCCGAGTTGGTGTCCCCAGGAGACAGGCACTCAGGTTCCCATCTCCAAGAGAATCAGAGGACACACCTCTAGGGCCCAGTTATCGGGGTGAGGTAGGCTACCACTCCCAACAATGGGCCGGGCTGACGGGGTGTCCGGGCGTCCATGCTCTGCACAGACCCCAGCACCCAGGTGGATCTGAACGACAGTGGGTGTGGTGGGCGGGGCAGGTGCCCACCTTGACAAAGTACAGCCGGGGCGCCGGGTCCTGAGCCCGCACACGCAGCACGAAGTCCCTCCAGACCCTGTAGATGTCGTCCATGCCCAGCACAGAGGCCCCCAGGAGGCCAGGTCGCTGGGCCCGCTCATAATTAAGCACGCTGAACAAGGTCTTAATGTGCACAGTGAATTGCTGGGCCTGGGACACAGAGGGCATGGTGTCGGGAAGGCACAGGGTCCAGCAGTCTGTGAGGAGCCCAGGGCAGAGTGGGGATCTGAGAGGACCCAGGGGCATCCGAGCAGCTACTTCTGGCTTCATGGCCAACCTCACCTGATCCTGCCACCTGGCCCACCCCACCTACCACAGCAAGGGGTACATGACCCACCACGCACTGGAGGGCCGCCAGAGCTGGGGTCAGGCTTGGGACCATCGTCACTCACACAGACCAAACCAGTTCCTGACCCACAAAGTGAGGGGAGGCCAGGAGCCACAGTCAGGGAGGTCAGGAGGCACAGGGTCAGGGGAGGGGAGGGCAGGAGCCGCAGGGTCAGGAGCTGTGGGGAGGGCCTGCTGTCCCGGGGTCTGGCTGGCTGTCCCTCCTGCTCCCCACACGGGAAGCACAGCACTGCTGCCCACGCGAGGATTCCACGGGCACCTAGAGAGCCTGAGTGTCTCGTGCCCTGAGCAGATGCCCAGAGGCCCTCGAGCCGGTGTCCCATCCGCCCAGACCTGCCCACACTGACTTCCCAGACCTGGGAACGATGGCCCTTGTCCACCTCACTCTGCCCACGGTGGCTCACCACACACTGGGGCCCTCGTCTAAGTTCGCACTGACCACGGGCTTGGCGAGGCGAGGCAGGGTTACCTTCTTCTCCCTGCGGAGCGCTCTGGCACCCCCGACGCAGTCCACGCTCACGATGGGCCGCAGCCCGTTGGGCTTAGGGACGAAGCGGAGTCTGGACGTGGGCAGGGCGGGCCGGGCGCCCTGGTGCTGCCTGACCTCGGCTTCCGACAGCTGCCGCAGCTGCACGCGCTCCAGGAGTTGCCTGCAACAGAGCCTCCTGGAGCCACAGGACCCCACACAGCAGGTGCACTGCCAGGACACTTGACCCCGGCTCACGCTGCAGGGCTGTGCAGGGCCATGGCGACCACGCTGACCACGGACCCCTCAAGAGCAGGTGCTTGACCCCAGCCCCGCAGTCAGCCCAAGATGTCCAAACACAGCCAACACCCAGCACCACCTCGCTGCCCCCAGCTGGCCAAGCATCTCTGCAGCCTGCTGCTGCTCCCTACTGACACCCCGGGCTGGGCGTGGGTGCCAAGAGTCCCATGGGGTCTGAGCGTGCAGACGTGCTCAGCAGCCCTGACGTGGGTGCTAATAGTGCCCACCACTATGGCGGCCTTGGAAGAGCCAACAACACAGTCGGGAGCCCTGCAGCCCCCATCCCTCACCCTGCACAGGCAGCTCTGCCTGCCGCAGCCCTGCAGACCTGGATGGGAAATGCAGCCGGCACAGAATCCAGATGCTCAGAGGCCAAGCCAGCCAGCGGTCGCCCAAGGAGCCCCTCCCAGACACTTCCCAAGGGGCGGGCAGGGAACAGCAGTGTGCCTTAGAGAGTCCGACCCACAGGCAGCAGTCTGTTGATGCTCTCCCGTCCACCACTCTTCTCCGCAGCAGGGTTGCTATGATGGTTGGACCCAGGCAGCTGGTGCGTAGTCCAGGGCCCCACGGGCCAGGACAATGGGGCCCCACCCAGACCACAGGACTCTGTGAGTGGACAAGCTTGCAGGTGCCTCACACAAGCTGGGATCCAGCACCTCCGTTCATGCCGACATCGACAAACAGACCACAGACGATACCTGACCCCCACGCTCTGCAGCCTGCGCCAGGTGCTCTGGCGGTAGAAGAGGAGCCTGTTCTTCTGGAACGTGGTCTCTGTGACATAGAAGAAGGACCTCAGCAGCCCCACCACGTAGGCGTCCACCAGCCAGAACAGGAACTTGGCCAGGATCTCTGCCCTCAGACGGTGCTCCGCTGCAGGCACACAGTGGGTACCTGCAACAAGAGGGCTGCTGAACCCCACCCCGTCCCCACAACCCACAGCTGCACCCCAGACCCACGTGGCAGCCACAGTCCACCAGGAATGGCACCCATCCCGTGATGCCCACGGATGGCACTGAGAGCAACTGAAGGGGACACACTGGGCTCAGGTAGACGTGCTCTCTGCTCCCTGAGCGTGGCTGCTGGAGAGCTTAAAGCCACACCTGTGGCTCAGGCAGCTTCCTCCTCTGTGTGTGAGCAGAGCGGAGAAGGCGTGCACTCTCTGTCCCCACACTGGTCCACACGATTCCAAACCCGTCACTGGGAAGCAAGATCAAGAACCCTGAGGTGGGTTTGCAGGCTGCACAGCCAAGGGACTCCGACCTCAGGTTCCAACACGCACAGTGAGCCCGGGGCGCCCTGGCCCCTCTGCGTTCTATTCTGCGCATGTCAGAAGCATCCACAGGCATCTTCAGAGGCCAGACAGAGGCGGGCTGACCACCAACAGTGGACAGGAAAGGCGCCACAGAGAAGCAGCAGGAACCCAGAAGGCAGGCCGGGACAAGACGGCACGGGACAAAGAGGAGGAGAGCAGTGGGTCCCTGGCAAAGTAGCCCAGGCAGAGCACTTGGTGGGTGGGGGTCGGGCTGAACCCGCCAAGGCCCCTCCTGATGGGAGTCGGGATAAACTCTGCATCCTGAGGATCCACACCGCCAGGAAAGGCACCAACAGCCCCGAGGATGGTGAGGAACCAGGGCCACCGCACACGAAAGAAAATGAAAGGCAGAAAAGCACATTCGAGTGTCCCCAGGAGCCAGCCCCAGGGTCTTGATCTATCATCCGAGCAGCCATCTTATCTGTTAACAGCCACCTCGGAAGTTCCGCTCTCCTGGGCTTCCTCGTACCCACCCCCACCCCACCAGTGACCCACCCCAGGGCACCCCAACCCCAGCCAATCCCACGCTATCCCACCCGCCTGGCTCTGACGAAGCACCCCCAGCCTGTCCCACAGCGCCACAGCTCGCACCCCAAGCCCTACCCACAAAAGCTGAGCCCCGGACATCTCGGGGCCTCTCTCCTACAGGGAGGTGGCCTTGACTGTCAGGGTGGACCTCTGCCTGGTCTCCGTCCTTCACCCCCCCCCCCCCATGGTCTCTCGCTTTCTTTCTTTCACCAACAAACACAACAGGCTGTCCAGCTGTCCAGTTAAGTGACAACTGTCAGGAGGGACGGGAAATAAACCCACCTCCCTGCTCCTGAAGAGACGGACCCAGCGACTAGAATCTGAAAAGGTGAAGACAAAGACTAGTGGAGATCCAGGCCCACGGCGAGCTCAAAGCCAGCTCAGCAACGGCAAGGCGCTACGCAGCTCAGCCAGGCCCTTCTCCAAATAAAACACCTAAGAAAGGCGGGGTGTGGCTCCCTGGCCAAGTGCCCCTGAGTCCAACCCCCAGCACTGCCCCAAAAGTAAGATACCTAGTGGAGGAGAAAGGACCCGACGGGAAAGCACTGACAAAAGCCAGCCCGGGGCTGGGTCGTGGCTCAGCGTGCAGCGCTTGCCTCGCACAGGTGGGGCACTGGGTTGGATCCTCAGCACCACGTGAAAACAAGAAAACAAGATAAAGATATTGTGTCCATGTATAACTAAAAAAATACTAAAAAAAAAAAGCCAGCCCAGTGCAGCCGTGCCGGAGAACGGGAAAGAGACAGCAGGGCGAGCACTCCTCACGTCACTGTCCTGCAATGACACCCTCACCAGAGACCACACCCGAACACGGCCTGCAGACTCCAGGGCAAGGAGGGCGCAGCACAGCCACACTAGAGCGAGACCGCGGTGCCCCCAGGCCTGCAGGCCTCTGCAGGCCCCACGCAGCAGTCAGCAAGACCACACAGGGCACAGAGATGACCACGCTCGCTGCCCATACTCTGGGTGCCAAAACACCAACCTCACACCACAGCTGTCACATAGATCAGCTGGAAATGACAAAAGGCCCTTCCAGATCTCCTGGGGTCGGGGTCTGAGGTGTCCCCCAAAAGCTCCTGGGTGGGATAGCACAGAAAGTTCAGGGAGAAGCCATCAGGTTGAGAGGTGTCTCCTCGTCAGTGTGGATCCCGACAGGAACCCACTGGGAGGTAACTGCAGCAGGCAAGCGTGGCTGCAGGAGTGGGTCCCTGGGCGCGTGCCTTACGTTCTGTCCCTGGTGAGCACAGCTCAGTCTCTCTACTTCCTGGTGCCATGTCCTGAGCTGTGCTCCTCCTCCACACCCTTCCACCATGTGTCCTGCCTCACCTTGGAGCTGACCGTCTGTGGACTGAGACCTCAGAGACAGTGAGCACCAAATAAACTTTTCCTCCTCTGAAATCGTTCCGGTCACAGCAGTGAAAAGGCTGATTAAAACAGACCCCGTTCACTGGGAAAATAAAAAATATGCCTAAATAGCTCACTGGTCAAAGAAATCATAGAAGTTAGAAAATACCCCCCAAAACGGTTGCACCTAAATGAGTACACATCAAAAAACAGGCACAGCTAAGGCGGTACTCGGAGGGAAACACCGTGAAGAATCCCCCTAAGAAGTTAGAAAACTAACACGGACCCCCAAAAGAAGCAGGAGGAAGACCCAAACATCAGGGAGAAATCAAACTCAAAACAAAGCCCCAACAGAGAGGAGCAGCCAGGTCCTGTGGAAAACTGGGAAGGGGCCCGTGCAGCCGGCCTAAGACGGAGGGCAGGCAGGGCTGGGCCTGGGCGAGACGCAGCACATGCCCAGAACAAGGAGCAAGGACGGCCCCACCCAAGGGCCAGAGCAGGGGCGGCTTGGGGGAGAGCTGGACAAGTGGGGGCCAAGGCGCCTCACTCCCAGCAGGCCACAGGGAATCCTCTGGGCAGGCCTCCCGCCATAATGGGCAGCGGATACGGCATCCCTGCAGTCTGGTCTTCAGGGCTGCAGAAAACACAGCCTATGAGGGCAGAGGGTTCAAGGGGGCCACAGGGCCTGGCAGCCAGGGAAGTGGACAGGCAGGCCTGGTGGACAGAGGTGATGGAGGCCTGAGCAACGGGCAGAGAGGAGGGCTTGGGTGAGGGGCTGGCAGGCTATTCAGGTCTTCTTCCTGGTCTCTCCCCCCCACCCTGCCCGGTCCCAGCATACACACCATTACAACTACACACCTGGGCTGGGGTTGTGGCTCAGAGGGAGAGCGCTGGCCTAGCACATGTGAGGCCCACATATAAATAAGTAAAATGAACGTCTATTGACAAGTAAAAAAATATTTAAAAACCTACACACCTGCTGGGTGTGGTGGCACAGGCCTGTAATCCAGTATCTCAGAAGGCTGAGGCAGGGGGATCACAAATTCAAAGCCAGCCTCAGCAACAGCGAGGTACTAACCAACTCAATGAGACCCTGGCTCTAAATAAAACACAAAATAGGGCCGGAGATGTGGCTCAGTAATCGAGTGCCCCTGATTTCGATCCCTGGTACCCTCCAAAAAACACAAAAAACCTACACACCTGCACACCGGTGACCTGGACACCTTCTCCCATCCCAGTTACTATCAGGTAAGGCACCATTCTCAGTGACGAGCTCTGGGGTCAAGAGAGGATTCAGTATAACCTGCCAGCCTCAAGAAAGCTATGACCTCCGGGACCCTCCCCTGTTGCCAGAACCCACTGCAACGCACACCTGCCCTATCTGTTCACTGTGTCATCCCAGTGCCCCGATGAAAGTGGACAGGAGTCTCTTAGGTCCCTGCAAACTGGAGAGAGGGCACTCAGAGGCAGAGATCAGCTGGAGCTCCCTGACAGCCACAGGTCAAGGAACCTGGCACCTGCCCTCAACTGGGCCACTCCCCTAAGCCCTACTGCACGTGCTGCAGGGCTGGCCAGTGCTGGCCGGGAGGGCGGCCCCTCCTCACCTGGGCTCCTGCGCAGCCAAGCACAGTCCCGCACCTTCATCTTCCACGTCAGCTCCCGCCGTGACAGCCTGGCGTGCTTTCCCAGAGAGATGAACCTCTTCACGTTCCTCAAGAAGCGGCGCTGGTTGTGCCTGGAGCCCCAGAGGCCGGCGGGGACCAGCCTGCAGAGACAGGCCCGTAGGAATGCATATACCTGCCAGGGGCTGCTGTGCTGGTCGAGCAGCTCTACCAGGTGGCCCGGGTCTGCAGACCCCTCAGGAGCCTCAGCTGGCCTCCCTGAGGCACAGGCACGGACCACCTGGGTGGCCGCAGCCTGAAGTGGACAGTGCATCCTCAGAAGAGCAAGGTAAGGGCACTGTGCATGGTTGGCAAGCAGTTCCCGGAACAGGGGTCGCATCTGCGCGTAGCGTGGGGACAGGCGGTGTGTCCTGCCAGGCACACCCAGCTGTCGGGGCACTGGTCCTAGAAAGACGGTCTCCACAAGCCTCTGGGCCCCACTCAGGCTGGGCCGCAGGGAGCTGAGAGGGAAGGAGGGGTGCAGCTGCTCCTTGCCCCTAGAATGGGAATAGAGGAAGCGCTTGACCTCCACCTGTGGCTGGGGCTGTGGTGGCCACAGTGTGGATGGGAGACTGGTCTCCCGCTTGCAACCTAGGCGGGAGGAGTGCTGGGCTCTGGACTTAGCTTCCAATGATGTGGCTTCAGCTGCGGCTGGGCAGGATGTCACCCCACGGGGTTTTCCAGGAGTTGGCCCACAGGCCTGCTCCAGGCCCAGGCTGCACCTGGGCTTCTTGGCCAAAGGCGGACTTCTGCCTGCGTTGTCTAGGTGCCGCTTTGCACCTCGGGCTGGCCAGCCCAGGGATCCCCAGGCCTCCTGGTTGCTGCTGTTCTGGACTGGGCCTGTGGATCGGCGGCCTGTCTGGCCTGCCTGCCCTGTGGGCCAGCGGGTCCGGGGCACTGTGGGCTGGGCCTTGGCGGTAGCGGAGAGTTCATAGAGAGGCGGCCCACACACCTGGTAGGCACAATTGGGAGGCACCAGCAGGTAGAGAGCGCAGCGGGCCAGCAGATGGACCAGCACGTCGTCGCCCAGGCGATGGAGGAGCATCCCCCACGCGCCGCTGCCGCGCAGAGTCTCCGTCACGGTATTAGGCAAATAGCTTCGAACGCTGGTCGTGAAGGCCATAGGTGGCCCGCCACGGGCCCCGTCCAGCAGCGCGAAGCCAAAGGCCAGCACGTTCCTCACGCCGCGCTCGCAGAGCCTCTGTACGACCCTGGCCACCAACTCCTTCAAGCAGGACACCTGCAGGGGAGAAGGTCCTGAGTCGCTGAGGACAGAGGTGCCCGGGAATCGCGCTGCCCTGAGTCCCGCCTCTTCCCCCGTCCCCACCCTCCCGGATCCCCAGGGCGTCCCACCTGGCGGAAGGAGAGGGCGGCGGGAGGCGGCTGCGCGTCCCAGGGCACACACACCAGGCACTGGGCCACGAGAGCGCAGAAAGCCGCCGGGTCTCCTCGCCGCACGAGCCGCCAACCCTCGGGCCCCAGGCGGCGCGCGAAGGCCGCCAGCGGCAGCACCTCGCGGTAGTGTCTGCGCAGCAAGGCGCGCACCGCCCGGCACCGGGGCGCGAGCGGCATCGCCCAGGAGGTTTTGGCCGGGCCCCCACGTGCGGGAAACCGTGCGCGCGCGCCGCTGGGAAAGACCGGGCGGGGGCGGGCCCTCACGGAGGAAGGGGCGGGGTCCGCAGGGAGGAGGCGGGCTGAAAGAGGAAGGGGCGGAGCCTTGCCTTTCCCCCCGCCGCGCCCCGCGGTGGTCTGTTGCTTGTGCGCCCCACATAGGTGTGCCCACCGCCGCACCCTGCCCAGGCGCAAGTGCGGCTGCAAGGGTAGCACAGGGCCAGCAGTGGGAGAGGCGATACGTGTGGTGCCAAGGTACAGGTGCTTCTGCGCCCCTATTTGTCTCAGATGGGCCATGACCCCAGATGGGCTGCCCTGGAGTCCGGACAGGAGGGGTGCGGAAGGAGCCGGGCAGCGTGTCTCAAGCGAAGGGGGCTGGCCGCTCTGTCTCGCTGAAGGGTGTAGACAGGGCCCTTCAGGGGTTTCAGAGGGACCCAGGACGCAGGCTGGTCCTGGGGCACCCATGTTGCCTGCCAGAGCTCCTGGCAGATGGCAGTTCCTCCTCTTAGACTCCTCCTTAACTCCAGCTGGAATTCCTCTTTGCAGGTTTTCAGGATTCTGTTGTGGTCCTGACTGTAAGCACGCACCCCAAATCAGTCCCTTGTTACCATCCACTACCAAGGGAAGGGGGCAGATGAAGCCTGCGTTCCTGCCCGAGCTCCCTCACCTGGGTCCCTGCCGCTGGACCCATCCCAGGCACACGGGAGGATGCTAGAGCCGCAGGCCAAGGGACTTGGCTCTTGCCTGGGACAGCCCAGAAAGAGCCAGAAGACCCGCCGCCCTGGCGCTTTGCTCAGGGGAGTCGCCTTGCCAGTGCTGGGGGCTGTCAAGTTTGAATCGCTGGGAATTGGGAAACCTGCGGGCCTCTGGGGCTTTGTGGAGACACGCTGTACCTGACTTTGGAAACGCCAAAACGCTAACAAATGTAACCTTTCTCTCCTCGAGACACCTGGCGGGGAGATGGCTTCTATTCGTGTACGTGACATTTGAACAGCCTTGTGCCCTCCCTGGAGGGCAGGCGCTTCATATTTATCCTCTGCTCTCCGGATTACAGGTTGCTGCTCTAGAAATCCCAGACTGGGGGCTTTACATACTTTTAAGGGTTGTTTGAGAATTGCTCAGTTCTCCTACCAGGGAATTTGGGATTTGTTTGAGAAATTCTTCCCAACAACGAAATTACTCTGGTTCACCAGGGAAACCAGCATAGAAAACATAATTAATTTCAAAATATGAATAAAACAGGGCTGGGGATGTAGCTCAGCATAGAACCCTTGCCTAGCATGGAAGAAGCCTGGGTTTGAGCCCCAGCATTACCAAGAAAAAAAAATTGAAGACCCTGAGGCAGAAAAGTACACTGGCTTGATGGCTGCATGTCTTGAAAGTCAGCTGGCAATGGCAGCGAATGTCTGGAGTCCTTTGTCTAGACTGTGGAGAGTTCATCTGTCTCTCCAGGCAGGGATGGTCTGAAATTGTCACATTGTAACACATGAGAAGTGTTCAGAAAAGGAATTGTTGGCTAAAACAACACAAGGACGGGCGTCGGTTCACGGTGGCAGTCCCAGACCTACCAGGAACAGTAGATGAATGATAAAGTGTGGCTTCCTGGCAAATGAGAGGGACCGACTGTGCCTTCCACAGCCACCCAGGGTGGCCCCACATGCTGCTGCCTTGAGAGGGTGTCAGTCACATGCATAGAAGATCATGACAGGCTCCTCTTGGGGAGAGGGTTGGCCAGCCACTCAGGGACTTCAGCCTGGGGCCCCCAGATATGGGGAGGGGACATTCATGGGATCCACTGATTCCAGGTTGCTCAAAGAAACTGCAAATGTGTCAAGAAAAGACTTATTCCCCAGTCCGCGAGGGATTTCAGAAAACCCTGAAGGAGGGTAATTCTGGGTGAAGGGGCACAAACTGCCCTTGACCTCCATGAGTGCCTTGCACCCAGGCAGAAGTTCAGGTAGATGGTGTGTTGGGGGCAAGTGGGTGGCCTCCTGTGCTCCTGCCACCGGGCTGCAGAGCTGGTCCTGTGTCCCCAGGCTCTCGGCCGCCCTGGGGAGGGAGAGGAGCACGTCTGGACACACTGCACCATGCCGCCGCAGGAGAGCTTGGAGGGCGCTGGGAACAGGTGCAGAAGCCTGGGCCAGCTTGACCGTGGGCAGCCTACAGGACGTGTGCACGCAGTCTGACCATAGGGCAGTGTAGAGGAAAATGGGCTGCAGGGAGAGCCTGGCGGGGCTGGGAGGAGACCTCCCTCCTGCCCTGCCCGCCTGCTTGGGGGCAGGCCTTCACCCTGAACTGGCCTGCTTTTCAAAACTCTTGTTTTGAAATGATAACAGATTCGCAGTGTGTGGGTTTCCTACTGCTGGGGTAGCATGTCACCATAAAATGCTTTAAGACGTCACGCACCTATTTCAACCCTGGAAGCCCGAGGCTGAAGTCGGCCCTCCTGGGTTCACATTGAGGGTGGTGGGGCTGGTCCCTGGGAGGCTCCAGGGAGAATCCCTTCTGGCCTTTGCCAGAATGTGCTGGGGCGCCACGTTCCTGGACTTCCCTCTGCGCGCAGGTCAGTAGTGTCTTCCAGACTCTGCCACCTCTGTGTCCACCACCACCTGGCCTTCTTACCCTCTGTCCTCTGCCCACTGTGCAGGACTCACCCAGATAATCCAGGATGACCTCTCTACCCCAAAACCCTCAGTATAGTCCCCTCTGCAAGCTCCCTGGTACCGGGTCTGGTGGCAGTCACAGGTTAGAGATCAGGACATGGGAATTTGGGGGCGTGGCAGAGACAGTCTCTCAGAAGGAAAAGGCTCTTCCTCCTGCCTTGAAGGCTGCCCCTCACAGTGAAATCTGTACTTAGTGGAGCCTGCACAAATGCGTGCACAGTTACCCACGTGTTCCTCTAAGGGAATGTGCCCGTCACCCCTCCCAACTGCCTCCAGCCGGACCCCTCAAGGCCACTCCCTGCCTTGGGGTTGAGTCTTATCTTGGTAAGGTGACATAAAGGAGCCATTCCACTGAGGCCTTTTGAGCCTGGCGTGGTCTACCCTGGATGCCTTGAGACCCCTCATGGGTGGTGTACATCAGCAGCTCATTGCCTTGTCCTGCTGACGGCACCAGGTGGGGACTGACCAGTTTGTCAAGGACATAAATAAAACTGCTCTAGACACCCATGGGCAGGATTTTCCACATAACTGAGCAGGATCACGTGGATTTCCGTGGCCCTGGGATGAATGAAGCCCAGGCTTGGCTTCTGGATTGAGGAGTGTGTTCTGAGAAGCTGCCCTTGGCTTGGCAGAGGGCTGCAGCCTCCCACTTGCCATCAGCGTGAACGAGGGTCCTGTGTTTCCATCTGCACTTGGCAGGGGCCACTGTTCTCACCCTGGCCCCTCTGACAGGGGAGCAGCCCCAGCTGTTGTGCCTGAGAACGGCAGGCTTCCAGGAGCCGCACAGGGGGACCCTGGGTCAGAGTCAGAAGTGCCTGGCAGGGCAGAGCCTGTCCCTTCGTCCTGTGTGTGCGCCACAACAGAGGAAGGGTACATGCCTCACGGGAAACCTTCCCATCATTCCTATACTACCCGAGCAGTTCCCGCGTGTCACTGGCCAGGGTTAGGAGGAGGTCCTGGGGGTGTCAAGGTGGAGCCAGAGCTGTGGGGGGAGGCCCCAACTCAGTGGTCCCCCAGGGACAACAAGAGACAGAAGCCAGCAACTCCCTGGGGGAAAGAAGTGGAGACATGGAAGTGTCCCACAGTGTGGCCACCCAGGTGGGAAGCAGCATGTGTCCCTAGGCCCTGAGAACCTCGAGGGCCACCTGCCAGGACAGCTTGGGAACTCTGTCCCCAACTCTCCAGGAGACTGCCTGGCACAGCTTGGTGGCTTCCCAGAAAGCCATGTTGTCTGTTTTCTTAACAGCTGGGCCTTTAATCTGCCCTGCTTTGTGGCCTTCCACGTTAATCCCTCCTGACGCCACTTCCGTCTCTCTGTTTGCTTTCTCTTGCACCTTAAACCATCTCGTAAAAACCAATAAGAAGTACTTATGGCAAAAATCCCCTGAATGTGGTTGTTTAATCCCTGGGCCTTGGCAAACACGGCTCAGCTCCTGTTTTACATCTTTGGATTCATTGCACCCTTGGACGTTGTTTGATGAAATTTAAGAAAACAGTAAGATTAAAGCATCCTCTCGGATGTGGAAAGGTTGCATTTGCTTATGAAATTAAGCCTCTTAATCACCCCTCTGTGAACGTGGTGCTGCCTGCCACCCAAAAGCTCGCGCACAAGGCACAGACCCCTCCAGGCATCAGGTGTCTGGAGGAAGAGGGTCTTCTTGGTGGCAACCAGTGGACCCTGGGGGATGCTGGTTCTGACTGGAAACAGCAGGAAGCAGGAGGGGAGGAGGCAGCCGACCACAGAGCTGTTGGCCTCTGGTCTGCCTGAGAGGAGTCCCCAGCAAGTGCTTGGCTTCTGTCTTTTTAAGGAAGGCACCTGCCTTCCCTAAAGACTTCCTAAAGTCAGCTGGGCCCCTGCTCAGGATGAGCGATCCCAGCCACGCTCCAGGGGTCCCGTGCCACACTTGGCCACTGTCATCTCTTGCTGGTTTTTTTGCAGTAGGTGTTAACTCCAATTCTTATGAGCCCCGTTTTCCAGGAAGCCTCTGTTGAAAAGTTATAAAGAACTCTTCACATCCTACTTAAGACCTGCGGGGCCCTTCGCTGCCCCTAAAACAAAATCCAGACATTTCCTCTGCCTTTCCAAGCCTCTTGTTCTGCAGCTGCATCACGCCCCCAGCCCTCAGTCGCCCAGCTGGCCTTGAATTTGAGATCCTCCTGCCTCAGCCTCCCCCAGTCAGGCTTGCAGGCCTGTGCCGCGCCCAGCCAAGCCTTCTGATTCTGCCGGAGGCATCAGGCTGATGATCTTCCCGCTGATGCCGCTGTTCTTCAGCTGACCACACAGATATCATACGTTTGGATATTTTAGGCTTTCACCTCAGTTGAA